TCTCTCTCTCTCTCTCTCTCTCTCTCTCTCTCTCGCTCCCTCCCTCCCTCTCTCTCTCTATCTCTCTATCTCTCTGTCTCTCTATCTCTTTATCTCTATCTCTCTCTCTCTCTCTCTCTCTATTTATTTATTATTTATATATCAGGATGTCCGGTAATTGATCGAGCAACCGCCGTGTACGGGTCAAAATAATCATAAAAGTTATATGTTTTGAAATTTTCTCAATATTTATTCCGCAATTAATTAAAATATATAAACGAATAAGCTCACGAGAAGCGATAAGACAGACTCTGTGTGTAAAAGAAATGGCTTTTACATCGTAACGTATATGTATCGCTTGTTACTCCGCCTCGAAATCATCTATTTACTCACCGTTGCTAAGAGATAAGCCATTTCTTTTACGTACAGAGCCTGTTCTACCGCTTCTCGCGCTGATTCGTTTATACATTTTAATTAATTACGGAATAAATATTGAGAAAATTTCAAAATGGTACATAACTTTTATGATTATTTTGACCCGTTTTACCAATACATTTAATATGTCAATTTAACCTTTTCATTTCAGCAAATTATCATAGGTTAATACTTCTCTCAAATGTTAAAGTAAATTTATTTTAATTAATTTAATATTATACGTATGTCAATTTATATGTCAATATACAAATGTCAAACTATGATTTCTGACGATATTTTCAAATGTTAAATTCTTGTTTTAATTTTTACATATTATGCGTGTTACTTTTTACCACATTTGTTTTGTGTTAAATTTACACATAAATGAGAGTGGATGATTTAGGACACATGAAATGTTAAATTTAACACATCAGTTTTTACAGTGTACTCTACCATTCTGCAATTAATATTACGTAGATTTTTATATAATTATTAATTAAAGAAGATCCCCCCTCTGCATAATTGTCTGCGACAATACACCAATCTTTTTTAACTAGTACTAGCCATTTGCAAAGTAGCAGAGGACTTTTTCAGTTTGATTTAATATACAGTTCAGTTTGATTTAATATACAAGCACACGATAACAGACGTCACCATCACTGCTTATCTACCATATTGCGCGTGATCGCATTCACCAATCTTCTTTGATTAATAATTCAAAGTTCTAGAGGAACTCTTAGAAGAATTTTGTGTTCAATTTAGTGAATTCTACTTGCACATAAGAGATGTGTGGTGAATTATCAGACATCCTGTATACTCTTCTCTCTTCTCACTCTTCTTTCCGCGCTCAGTCGCGAAGTTGTAAATAATAACGCGAGCTTCCAGGCGCGAGTACCGTGAAAAGGAGTTTTCTTGTTTTCAGGTCGCGGTGAATCCCGAATTCAAAGTTGGCGAGATGTCATTCGATAACAACGCGGCGATCTGCCGCCTGCTTTATACCGAAACTTTCGCGACTGTTCACAGTTGCATAATGGCACGTCCTTGACACGACCCCGCGCAAACGCAAGAACTTTTCCAGCTTCGGGCGGTTCACAAGGGTGAAATTAACGTCGGCACGTTGACGTCGATCAAACGTGGACGAATAAGGAAAATGACGACGCGCCGGCGAACTTCTGTGAACTTAATGAAGCAACTCGAAACAACGTGCAAACACGAATGAATTTGTAATGGAACACGTCAATGCGTAACTCTTGCCCAAAAAAAAATATATATAATCTCGTCCTCAGTAGAATTCGCATTTATTACAGTCACGAGAGGAGATTTCCAAGACCAGAAAGAAAATATTCCAAGCACAATATTTTTAAAATTAAAAAAATTTTGTCTTTTATTTACAAATCTTCATAGAAATTTCTTTTAATAAGGGAGTATTCTGTGTTTCAAATAAACACATTCTTCTTGATTCAAAAGAAAAAAGTTAAAATAATATCTAGTAAACTTCCGATCAATAGTCCACTTCATTAAACTAATATAAATTTTTCACGAAAGCTATTGTTTATTTTGTTGACATAAAAGAATTTAGATTTAAGTATCCGCCGAATAAATATTTTTTTACTTCTAGATATTTTTTACTTCCGTGTGTAGGAGAGAAATAGTCTTTCGGCAAAAGTTTCCGCTGAAATATGGGATTACAGAAAATAGCACTTTGCAACTGGAATTTTTCTTTTTACGTGTTGGGATATTTTCCTTTTGGTTCCAGGAGAATCCTCTTGAAAACATATATAAGAAATTCCGCTAAGCATAAAAGAATAAAGATACTTGAAAATATATTTGTTAGATATAAAGTTCATTCGCAGAAATATAAACTTGAATTTCACAAAAATAAACCTCATATCCTACAAATAAATTTCCAAGTATTTTTTCCTCGGTATAATTTTTTTATTTTTTGGGTGCTCCTTCGCAACTCTAAACCGCTACGTTCTCATTTCAATGTAACAGCCTCCGCGTTCTGAGAAGAATATATTTTCCTTCATCTGGCGAAATATGAAAATCATATATCTCCCTATCTGCTAACGTCTCCCGTCGTTTCTACATCCCACGCAGCTCGAGACAGAAACACGAAGGCGCACACAATTATACTTCGATCGCGCTTCACAATCGTCCCTACTGAACTCGAACTTAATAACGTCAAACAATCGGCAACAGTGACGAGAACGCTTGAATCTTCAAAGGAACGCTCAATCGTCGTCGTTGTCCCGTGGAATTTCCAGTTTCCGTTCTCGATCTCCTGCAATCCCGATCGTCTCCTCGACTTTTGGCATAATTACCGGAGTGACAAAGTGGCAAAGGCGTGGCGAGGGAGGCATGGTCCAGCCGATGATAATTAAACTAGAACTCGCGACTAGGAGACAAACCGCCTACCTAGCCTAGACCTACGCCTGGCGAGGGGCAACCGAACATGCGGGTGAAAGCCGACCACGGCGGCCACGACGGCCACCTCCTCGGCCGGCATGCTGGCCGCGTATGGAATCTCAAGTTTTGGAGTCTAGGACCGAATTTATAGACGTTGGCAGAACGGAACTACTAGGTCGCTCTAGATTTCCTCTGCCTACACCTCTAAGGACACTTACTAGGACACGGGAAAGGACGAATTTTCGTGGCGCCTCCGCGCGATAAGAAGACAGCACACCCTCGAGGCGACGCTCTTCCGCCCCCGATAACGCCTTATCGCGACCGTCTGATCGCGTGTGCACGATGTTAATTACGATTCCTAGGAAAATTGCCGTTGCGCGAGTGTGCGTACACACGTACGTACGTCGGTGAGAATCGAGATCGGCTCTAGGCTGGAATAGAGCCGCGCTACGTCACGCCCGGCTACTACCTCGTGCAGCCCGGCGACTACCTGCTACCTGCCCGCAGGTGCTCGTAGGCGAACGTGTCTATAGATAGGCAGAGGATAACTGCGTCTCGCTTGTATATACGCGACGCACAGTGGGATCAAAGGAAGTCTCACGTTTGAAAAAAGACTATAGTCTCGAGACTTGAATTGATTTCGACGCCTTCTCTTTTTTTAAATGAATGCTAATGAAACTTAGGACAACTTTGTCGAGCCAAATCTGTCTTTTGCTTCCCTTCTCCTAAATCAGACAACGAAGTTAGATTTTTTTTAACTTTCTCAATCAGATAATTTCGATAAATGCAGGAAGTCAAAATGTGTTATTTTAAGAACAGTAATTAATGAAAAATTAATAACATAATTGTAATAATTTACTCTTACTTAATTCAGTAGTTTTCATTTTAGATACTATTTCAGTTTTAGGTATTATTTTTCCCAATTATTCTCTCGTTCGTTAAGTTCAAATAAGTTTTAGTCAGTCCTGTTTTCAAATCTATAATTATAGTTTAAATATTTAATTTCTATGTTAATATTTGTGTAGCTGATGTTAAATTAGATAAGATATGAAATGAGTTATCTATTCTATTTGATTTTTAAAAAATTTTAAATCTAACTTCCTTATGTCTGATTTAAGAGAAAGGAAGCAAAAGACAAAAATCTGACTCGACAAAGTTATTTTAAATTTCTAAGAATTAATGAAATTTAAAACAACTTTGTCGAGTCAGATTAAAAAAAATTCTTATTTTTAAAAAAGCATCAAAATTAGTTGAAATTTCGAAACTGTAGTTTTTTGAGATATGAAAAAACTGGTGTATTAATACGCACAACTGTACATTAAACTTCTTTAATTAATAACTAAACATTAATAACTAAACATATGATTATTTGGAAAATAGTAAAGGACTTTTTTGTTCAGTTTGACCTAATATACAAGCATACAGCGACAGACGTCATAACTCATCTACCATATAGCGCATAATCATTCACGGATCTTCTTTGATCAATAACTCAAAATTTTACATGATTATTCGCAAAATGGTAGAAAAATTTTTTGTTCTGTTTAACCTAATCTATCTTTATACTGCGAGTACTTCCTCTGTGAGGAAGTATAGCGGACACCCTGTAGAAGTATGAAATCCTCTAAGATTCAAAATATTCCGCTAAGAATAAGGTTCTATTTTTTTGAAAAAATGACACAAATTAAAATCGACACGCGCGCATGTCAATAACAGTTGAACAAGCGGTAGTATATTTCGTTTATGCAGCGTTCGAAGAGAATCTCTTCGTGTCAAGCAATATGCGCTAGTTACACAGTACTTTTTAAGAATTAACACAACATATCTGATTCATTTATCGTTGTTATCGCGCGAATATACAGAATAACGAGTCCATAAAGGACACCGATTACATAATAATAATTCTTCGGAGACTAACAAAGCATATTCGATCATCAGATTATCTCGTAAAATAAATCTGCCCACCGCCAAGATAATTAGAATTCTTAAACGCGCGTCTATAAAACACAATCGTTCGTTTAAAGAAAAATAAAGGGAATAAGAAACGAACGAAACGCATATTTAATATGCTCAGAGGAAAAAAGGCACTACATCGACTAAGGGGTTTCCTCGAAAACGTTTTTCCCGATTTGTAGAGAGAGAAAGAGAAAGGAAGAAAATGGCAAAGAGGAAGAGACCAGACCGCCCTGGGCATGAAATATTTATAAAGCCCCCGTAAAATTCACCTCGCGTTTCAAGCGAATTAAACCCGCGGCCTGGAAGGCGCGTCGCCGTCGTTGTCGTAAAGCGAACTCGCGAAAATTAAGTTAACGTCGTCCCTTCGCCGGGTCCCTCGCATTTTCTCTGTCGAGAGTCTCCGACTCGGCCTAAAAACACCTTGACAAGTCTTTTAGACCTGACCGATCTAGCGTCTCGAGCCAAAAAAAAATTAACGCGAAACGCTGCCTTTAAAATATAAATAAGTAATTAGAACTAATTAGAAGGACAATAAGCAGATTGCGCATTGACCAATCGTGACAGATTCTTACACTCGCGATATCTTATTGCAAATTTCTTCGTAGGAAAACAACTTAACCCATTAGAGGTGAAAATTATTTCACAAACATTTTTAATCAGATCAGTCTGTTTGTTTCCACCAGAGGAAAAAATTACAAATTAGCATTAGAACTTTTTTTGTTGAACACGTAGATGTAATTTATCTATTATCACACACATATTTTAGGAATTATATACACGAAGAGAGTATATTTTTCCCTAAAATATTATAGATCTTTTCAATTTTACTATGTTTCTAGTAGAGCAGCAGAAGAGACTATTAGTAAAATCTATATTGCTTAGAAACACGATAAATGTTACTAGAAACATAGTAAAATTTTTTACCCCTTAAATAGTATGCCTGGAAAAATTTCGTGTGGTAAAATTCCATTTAATTCCTTCAAATTTACTTAAACTACTGTATGTTTTTAATTTATAACAAATACAAATGAAATTTAGATTTTTAAATCTTCAAAGAAAATAACGATAAAGAAAAAGAATATATATATATATATATATATATATATATATATATATATATATATATATACTTATGTCTAAAAAAAAGAAACCATCCTAGAGAAAATTGCGCAGTCATTTTAAATCACCACTGAAAAGATTAATAGCACATTTTTCACAGTTCCTAAAATATAAATTTTACTATGTTTCTAGTAAAATTTATCGTGTTTCTTAGCAATATAGATTTTACTGATAGTCTCTTCTGCTGCTCTACTAGAAACATAGTAAAATTGAAAAAATCTATAATATTTTAGGGAAAAATATACTCTCTTCGTGTAAGTTTGCCAAATCATAGACATTTCGTAAATGTATGGAACGAGAGGAAGAGAGAGATAACTGAAAATTATATATATAGACGTGTGTGAAACAATATTTTATTTATGCAAACTTGATCATCTTAATTTTAACTGATTAATGCCCAACACTGGTTAACAACAAAGCAAATCTCGCAGGCTCACAGCACAAGTTAACCGCGCCGGCCAGAGCTCGATTCGACTATTTCTACTTGTGTGCGAGAAGTGTCAGCTTCGCCACGTGTCGCGGAAAATCGGCTGTCATTCACATACATCGCGCGTGTCCGTCAGCAACGTGACCGGCCCTGTAATTCGTTTAAAAAAGAAACAAGCTGGTCCCGTCGTAGATACGGCTTCTACGTCGTGCATCATACACCGCGCAGTGTCGCGGAGCGACTTTTAGTTCGTGCGTCGCGAATATCGAAGGAGACGTGACAAGTCTCCCTCTTATAGAAAACAATCGGTGATCCATCCTCGCGTGATTCCGAAATTATTACTCGCCAGAGAGATGTCTTGAAGCGTTTAGAACCATTCACGGACGACCTCGAGAATTGTTCGCGAGCATAGCAATGGGAGTGAAATTATCGGCGAGGACGAAAAGAGTTGGTGGGGTGAAATTCTGCCACGAACAACGCGCACAATTATTCGAAAATTAATATTGAATTCGGGACTTCCATAGCTCGATATTCGCCAGTGAAAATCCCAAAGTGTTCGATTGTGAGTTTAGATCGGTATAGAATTGTTTTACTCTCTTAAAATGAATCAGTCAAACATTACTGAAAACAGTGAATATACACTGATTGCAGTTATAAGTATAACATTGAAAGTGCTCAGTGCTATATTCATAACTGATATCAGTGACTATTCACTGATTCATTTTAAGAGAGTAGGGGATCTAAATAACACAAATTTCCAGTTGCAGCTCCTATATTTGCGTTTAAAAAATAGCAATATGCAGAATTTGATAATTTTCAACAATTTCAAATAAAAAATCATAATAATTCTTTTCGCCAACTTTAATTGAAAATATCGGCAGAAATTAATCTCTACATATATGATATAAAATAGAAATATAATCTTTCAATTTCTATTATAACTTATCCTACTGTAAAAGATATGGAATAGAAATGCTATCGATTTGTTCTTTAAATGGAATTTAAAGTAAATAAAAGAATTATTCTTAAATATATTGAATTTAGAATAAATTTCACATTTTTTTCTATAGCGCGACTAATTATTATGATTTTTTTATTTTATTAAGTTGTTGAAAATTATAGAATTTTGAATGTGCTGTCATTTTTTCAAACACAAAGACAGGTGATACAAATTGTATTTAGACCCTCTATAATTCTATACTCTATACTTCTATGGTCTAAACTCAGAATCGATGAAACACTTCGGGACCTTCCTTTATGACCGTAAGATATACCCTGAGGTCGATCCAGTAATAGGTAAAAACTAGAGAGTGGGACGCGAAAGAGAAATAAAGAGAGAAGGAGGGGTTGGCGTGTGTTCCGTGCCAATTGTTAAGCACCCAAGTGGCTCTTGTCACGCGACTTAATGAGACTACCGCGATCGAAATTAATGTCCGAGCGGCGGAAGGGGAGCACCCTTCGTAATAAACAACGCTTCGCGTCTTACATGACGTCATCCCGCAAGATTAATCGGCAGCTAAATCTGCCGAATGTTGATTATAGAAGTGACTGACTATAGTTGACCGAATGTTGATTATAGAAGCGATAAGATTGCGTAATCAGTATTAGGAAAACAGACGTTCACACAGTACATATTATTATAACAACTCGGGCAATGGCGAAAGACACAGTGATCAAAGTATCTCTCTTGCTGAGCGTCTTCCCGTTAACTCTCTCGAACGCGAGCGATCGGATTCTTTGCTTCAAAAACGATACGTTATTGGAAACCGCGGGTGACGTTATTTTAAATGGTAAGGCGTTAATCAAATAACACTCCTATCTGTTTGCCATAAAACTCAAAACGATAATATGTACACTGACAGGAAACTATGTGTAAGAAACAACAAATTCGCAGTGGGTACTAATAACTAAACATATTTACTTGTACTAATATAAAATATTTTTTAGAGAAGAAAATTTGAAAAAATTGTTTATATATCCTATTTGCACAAAAGAATTTAGATATAATGAAATAAACAAATTTTCTAATTCAGATTAAAATAAAAAAATTTGGATTTAGTAGGAAACTATTGTTTTTTCTACTTTATATATGTAAGAAATATTTTATAAGAAAAATTAAAATAAAAGAACTTATATAAATTTAAATAAAAATGTTATTAGTAACCACTCACCGAAGAACTATTATCTTCTTTTTAAATATGTTTTCTCTTAGTACACTGAGAAGAATTGTTTGAAAATTTATTTATGGTCTACAAAGTTTTTTTCTGTAAAATAAACTTTATATTCCACAAATCGATTTTCACGTATGTTTCTCTCAATGTGTAATTGATGCGTGGTTCTTCTTGCTGCGATTACTGTTTGGTCAGTTTTCGCGGATGTCAACTACGGACAATATTGCAACGAATCGTCAACCAAAGGTCTACAGCAAATCTCGACGGCGCTATATGTGTTACAAACATTAAACGAGCATAACTACGTGCCAGGCCAACGACTGGGTGAGCAAATTAAACTATTCTATATTACAAATATTCTTCACACAAAGTTTTAGCAATATGCTTTGGTATTTACGTAGTCTGCATGCGAATCTTCATCAACTCGTTCGTTTAACAAGAAAAATATTGATGTTTGAATCAACGTAACAATAATACAATTAAATTTTAAAAGTTAAAAGACATGGTACTTTTTTCTGGTTCTTAGAAACCGAATTTGATTCGTAACAACTATAACAATTCGGTTTTATAACAATGCTATTTCCTTCAATTAAAACACTTTCAGTTGTGCTATTGTTACCAATGAGCAAAACAATTCAATGGTTTGAGAATAAAAGTTCTGTCAATCTGTTTTGTGTGTCAATCTATGTTTTCTTTGTGCAATTAAATTGAATCAAACAACCCCACAAAATGAAGCGAGGCGAATTAAGTAAATAAATTATTTTTTAATTTAAAAAAGCAACAATATTCAAGTTTGAATTAACATGACGATAACACAACTACATTTTGGTTAAAAGAAATGGGACTTCTAGTACTTAGTTCTGATTCTGAACTGAATTTGGTTCATAATATAATTGGATTTCTTAGAAATCGAATTTAGTTCATAACAATTATAATAATATTTGGTTTTATAACAATGCTATTTTCTTCAAATAAAATACTCTTAGTTATATCATTATCGCATCAATGGTCAGTCTGTTTTCTCCGTGTAATTAAATTGAATCAAATAGCCTCACGAAATAAAGCGATTTAAGGGAGTAAACTACTTATATGTAATTATATGTAATTAAATAATATATTTACATTGAAATAAAAAAATTAATTTTTAAAAATTAATTTTTTTTAATTATAAAAAATTTAATTTTTTTACAAAAAATTAATTTTTTGTGTGGAAGTGATGTCACAACATCCATTGCCGCTCCAAGCATGCCTCCTACTTTGCATGATTTACAAGAGTCCAATCAAGAAAATGGGAAATTATTTGCATGATTTGCATAATTCATATATTTACAATAATCCAATCAAGAAAATGAAAAAATTTTTTATAAGATAATGTAATTATATATCTTTCTCGGGTCAGAATTTTTATTTTAGTTTTTAGTTTCTTTTTTTTTCTAAAATAAAATATATATATAAAACGTTAATACTATAGATAAAACGTTATTTTATAAGAAACTTTTTTCATTTTTTTGATCGGACTAGTGTACAAACGTAAATCATGTAAACAAGTAAGATGTGCTACAAGCAATGGATGCTATGACATCATTTCCATACAAAAAATAGTTATTAATTATATTTTAATATAAATGTATTACTCTTAATTACATATATAAAATTCAAACATATTAATTTAATAACTTTGCTTAAATAAATTCCCGAATATTGTTGCCTTCTTGACCTGAAAAAATAATTTGCATTTAATAAGATGGTACAATAAGATTGTACGACAAAGCTTAAGATAGAATAATGATGCAACTAGATGTATGTTGGTTAAAAGAAACAGAAATTAAATCTGAATTAAAACGATCACAATAATATTTGGCTCATAACAATTCTGTTTCCTTGAAACAAAACACGTTTAATCGTGTCATTGTCACATTAATTCAACCAATCTTCTCCTCCGTGCGATCAAGTTAAATCAAACAGCTCGCGAAACGAAATGATTTAACTACACTGTAAAAACTGATGTGTTAAATTTAACATTTTATGTTTCCCAAATCATCCACTCTCATTTATATGTAAATTTAACACAAAACAAATATGATAAAACGTAACACGCATAATATGTAAAAATTTAACACTTGAATATCGTCAGGAATCACAGTTTGTGTTAAATTGACATACGTATAATGTTAAATTAACTAAAATAAAACGTTACTTTAACATTTAAAGTATTAATCTATGGTTTTGAAATGAAAATGTTAAATTGACATAATCTGTGTCTGACATATTAAATATATCAATTTAACACAACTTGTGATTCCTAACGGTATTCAAGTGTTAAATTCTTGTGTTAATTTTTTCCATATTATGCGTGTTACTTTTTAACACATTTGTTTTGTGACAAATTTACACATGAATGAGAGTGGATGATTTGGGACATATAAAATGTATTAAATTTAACACATCAATTTTTACAGTATATATAAGCGCACAACTACGGCAAGCGTAAGCAACGTAAATTCACGTAAACGTTGTACGTAAACTCACCGGTCGTGCAGGATTAAAAGTGCTCGACACGTGTCACGACGAGGTCCAGGTGTTCAAGCGAGTCCTGCGAGCAACAGTCGACGAAGATTGCGCGCCGCACCACGAATTGGGTATCTTGGTGCCGTCCACGTACAACGCCACGTTAGATCCTCTACGCGATTACGGTGGCTCACCGCCGATTGTCACCTACGCAGAACAGAATCTCACATTACCGCTGATCGACATCCTGGCGCATTACCTGAGCACCACGTACGAGAACGTCGATCTCGCGCTCGCCAACACAGATCACGTCCTCGAGCGCTTCCTGAGAATCAGCAAGGAAGCCGGTGTGTGTGTGAAGCGCGTCGGACACGACGACAACAACAACAACAACGACGCGAACGTCACGGGGGCGGTGATAGTCGCGATCGGCGAGGCGAGTGACATACGACGGTGGCTGCGACGTGGAGAGGAGCCGAAGGGTCTCGGGACGAAGACGTGGTTCCTGCTGCCGCTCGATAACTCGAGCATTGACGGTAAGTAATTCCGGACGTTGACGGATGACGGGAAAATTACGAGCGCGCCGGAAGAATTTCATTCCCGCGCGGCTAGTTTTTGCATACCCGAGCAACATAGCTTTCTCCCAAGCGGCAGAAACGAATTATTCTTGTTTAAGCGAGATTATTTCTCTGGCGCTTTCCTCGCGACAGTTTTTCTCCATTTGTTGCTGCGAGAGCGAGAATGAACGCTGTCGCTGTTAACCAAAATTATAGCGTCATTTAAATGTTAGATCGCGACCCCCAACGGTGGTTTTATGGTGACCAAGTTTAGCCGTAGTAGTTGAGAGTTAAGAGGCAGTCTCACCGACGTCGGTTAACTTTAACCTTAGTTTAGCCAATCCTTTCTCTCTCTCTCTCCCTCTAAAGTTAAAGCTAGGACCGGGCAAAGAGACGGTTAAACTATAATTAAAGTTAACCGATGTTGTGTGTGTGTATATGTATGTGTATGCGTGTGTGTGTGCGTGTGTGTGCTAAAGCCATTAGATAAATTGGCTTACGCGAATTCAAGTTTGCGCGGCGAACAGTCCACGACTGACCCTTCATCTACAATCACCCTTCCTATTGTAGGAGAGATCGGGTCTAAGTGATTCCCCAGAAGTATGTTGCTCATTGTTTTTTTTATATTTATCTTAAGAGAAACAATGAATACAAAATCGTGAAATGATCTTTTTAAAAGAGAGATCTTTTTAAAGAGAGAGATACTTTTACCTGGATTTAATAAAGTCAGAATAATATCACAGTTAAAAAATTTTTTAAAATTGGTTTAGTAGTAGCAAAGTAAATTCTCCAGACTCGCAAAATTTGGTATTAATATTCTCCGTTAAATGAATTTTTGATGCTGTCCATTGAGTGAATAAAATAAAATAAAATAAAATAAAATTAAGTGACGTGTTACTCGCTAGAATGAAGTTTCTTGCAAGTGTATGATATACTCTATTTCGGATAATAAAAGCAATTTTCGTTCATAAAATGATAGAAATCAAGCGATTTTTTATGGGCGATAAAGTTGTCCTATAATTAAAGACCGGCAAGAGGACTACGGAGACCTCTCGCGGAGATCCCGAAGAACTCCTAACCAGGACACATATTTGATATGTGGCCTTCTTTACCTTGCGCTACTGTGCAACTGGACTCAATACCAAGGTAAGATGGCCACGTTGCTGCCAGTTTGTATTTTGGTTATTACAAAACAGAATATACAGAATATACGATTAATAGGATCGTGACGAACATTAACATATAGAAGAAGGCTATCTCTATAATGTTGGTACAGTCAGTCCCAGCAATTAATTGAGAAGTTGAAATATGGGATTTTAATTCCAAAATTTTGAAATATAGGACATCTAGCCTCGGTCTCTCCTAATCCCACCATCGACCCGACTGACCTCGCGTCGTTTCCCAAAATGACTCGCGAAATGTATATCGAGCAGCTCGGATTTCGACGAGTAAGTCCTAATATCGCTGCCTAAACGAAATGATCATAAATACAGCCGAGTCGAGGAAAATTTGAACGCAAAAAGTATCGAACTAAATTCAACAGCGACACTGCGCCTGAAATTTTTCAGACGTCACGCCAACCGGCTCGTACATCATCAGGCCGGAAACTCTCGGCTTCGATCGCGAGTTACCAAGCGGGGGCGAATATTTGGGAAACTCCGGGAAATCCGCGAAACGCTCCCCGTATCTCCTCGGCATCGGCAAGGCCGTCGTCGAGCTAGCGGAAGTTCTCCAGGACGTCCGGGGGAGAAGCTGTCCCAGCAACGACGACGACCACGGCGATGGCGGCGATGGAAACTGCGTCGCGTCGCAATTTCGTCCAGAATCGCGGTCGGAAATTCGCGATTCCGACGTGTACGAGGTGCTGCGCATGCAGCCGAGGTCGCACTCGGTGAAATACGCGGTCGCCATGAAGACCTCGCAGCACGACCTCGTCGAGGTTGTGCTCTACGACATCGTGGTATCCGAGGCGCGCGCTCTTCCGGAAAAGTCGACGTCTGGAATGCCAGCGCTTTGCCTGCGAGATCTCGTCGGGAACTGCGAGAATTGCGCGAATTTTCAGGAACGCTCCCGTGCACGTGTCGTCACGAAAGGTGAGCTATCGAAAAGCGTTGCTCTATCAGCAATGATGTAATGCGTGAACGCTCATTTCTTAAGTCTTCATGCTTATGGATTCGCATATCAAAGGCTTCAGATCAGAGGCTTACTCCATTAGCGATCAATGTTGCATTTATCAGACGTTTCTCTTTTTATTGACTTTTTTATTTATCTTAAAATCATATTTGACTACATACATTATTTTATTTCTATATTTTTAGCGCCCAAAAAATTCTCAACTGTATCTATGTCTTCAATAACATTAGTTCTAACAATTTGAGACTTCTAGGAAACAAACAGAGTTTAATATTTTAATTAAAACTGTTGGTGGTATAATTATGGCCTCTAATAAATTAAAGATGTATTGCATATATCTCAGAATAATTTAAAAAGTTGAAGATTAATCTATATTACATCTAAAAGAAATAACATAAACAATTTGACGTTAATTCAGAATCTAGATCAAATGCCTTTAAGACGTGAGGATTTTCCAAAATTTTTAAAAATGTATTACTCGGATCTCCGCAAAATGTCAATAAATCGTAATTGAACTTTGCATACATTATTGTAAATATTTAAAATATGTGTACACAAAAATTGAGATTTTTGTCATTTTGTAATTTTTTTTTAATTTCTCTTCTTTTCTAAAGATAACAACATTATATATTTCCATAACAGCAAAAGTTATTCTATTTTAAAGTGTAAGCCAAGCGAAGATGATGACTTCAAATGATGTATTAGTGATGTTATCATCACGTCAATGCGTCACTAAAACGTCATTTGACATTAGCTACTTAGAAGTATTTTAATCCATACTGTTATGGAAATATATAATGTTGCTATCTTTAGAAAAGAAGAGAAATTAAAAAATAATGACAGAAATCTCAATTTTTGTGTACATATACTTTAAGTATTCAAAATAATGTTCAATTACGATTCACTGACATTTTACGAGAATTATCCAAGTAATAAGGTAAATGTCCCAATAATTGAACAATGTCCCAATGATTAATACATTAACAATAGATTTATATTTGATATTTCTTCAAAAAAATTTTTTGAGATTTTGCTGAAAGATATTTGTTTCTGCCAATTTGCAATGTTATTCAATAAATGTTTAATCATTAGTTAATAAACTAATCTATTAATATATCAATCATTGGGACATTGTTCAATTATTGGGACATTTACCTTACATTTTTTTAAATTTCGGAAAATCCTCATGTCCTAAAGGCATTTAAAGATTACAAAGTTATTACGTCAAATCACAGAAAAGAAACGCGAATTTTGTCAGAGAAATTCGCGTTTCTTTCTTTATGGAATAATACAACTTGTAAGCTAGGGATAATTATCAGAGAAATATCGCATACACGCAGAAAAAGGATTAACTGCAAAAATCAAAATACAGTTTTGATAGCTGTATGTTTTTAACGAATAAAAACAGCTAATGTCATTGCTATCAAAACTTAATTAATCTGCTATTTAAACTTCAATGCTATAGTAAAAAACTATTCGCTGCTAGGTAGCGAAAATTCCCATTGTCATCATTCCGCTTTTTCCTTAAATTGTTCTTTTTGTTCTGGTCAAAAACGTAAAACGTAGGTAACCAGACGTCCCGATTTTTCACCCTTTGTCCCGAATTTTTTCGAGTGCTATTCGGGATATTGATTTGTCATCATTTTCAATGATTGTCAAATAATTTTTGGATCTTTTTATCCTCCTCCCCCGCTTCATATATTTATGAAGTGTCCCGAATGGGAAAAGGACTGGGAAATCTGGTCACCTTACATATACTGCGAAGAGAAACGAGAAGATTACTTACAAATGACGTCTTTACGATACGCCCCGACGATCGCACATCACTATTCTCGACACTCCCGATATTTATTTCCGTGCGAGACTTACGACTTTCCCGGGTTAACCTGGGAGTGGGCGCGTTAACGAGACTAACATTAGTGGGCGCGTATCGGTCGTTTCGACCGAAATATATTTAAGCACATATATGTGTAATAATTAAGTAATAATTAATAAATTACCAATCCAATTATTAGAAGAAACATAATAATTGAAGGAAATAATTTTATTATGTCACTATTTCTTCTTTTTCCCATCTTTTTTTCTCTTTACCATTTCTATATCTAATATGTTTAGGAAACATATTAAACTTATTACACATAAGTGAATATGTTAAAAATAAAATCATAATATTTTTATTTCAATTGCGTTAGTAAAAACTGACATTATTTTAGTTTAACAAAATAAAATAAGAATTTCTTGCTTCTCTCGTTTTACTTTGATTAACTTAAATATTGATTTAATAAGCTTGAAAATTTATTTGATAAATTTAGAAATAGAGAATAAATCTTCTTGATTCAATGGCAATATTAAAACTATCACATTACGTATTGTTTCAATAATTCAAGTATTAGTTTTAATAATATCGCTATTGAATCAAGAATGGTACTCCAATTACGCGTGCTGTTGAAAATTTTATTGATTCAACAAAAAAAGAGAGAACCGTCCGTCCAACTACGATGTCGAAAAAACAATAAACGTTCGGCGGCACATTGAGCGACGCTGACGCGGCAGAGATAAAAGTCTAACGTTAGTGGGCTATAGTCTTTTAGACCGACTGCTAAAAACATATCAAATTTCACATAGAAATAAGCGCGCTATGCCGTCCACTTCTTCATGCTATATGAGAAAACATCAAAGAAAATTTAAAAGCGAAAATACGATAATATCAATAGATTAGATGATATAAGTAGAAAACGAAAAAGTACGGGGAAATGACCGATACGCGCCCACTCCCGGGTTAAAGACGCGTAAGACGCGGAGCAATGGCCTGTATGAAGTTAGCCCCCCACTTTTCAAATTTAATAATTTTGACAGTTGTGCTAATTTGTGTTAGGTTTGTGCTACATTGTGCTCGAATTATAAATTTTTAATACGAAAAATGAGCAAGAAAAATGGAAAAAACCGTTTTTTGGTAGCCCCCCACTTTTCGATTTTCGAAAATTTGTTTATTGTGTTAGGTTGTGCTAAGTTGTGCTAACGTTGTGTAAAGTAGTATCTTCGAAAAATAATCACGAAAGAAATAAGACGAAAAAAACGATTTTAGGCAAATAGAATAAAAGTAAGATTTACACTCGTACCAAACGATATACAATTATATATCTGAGTTGTGCTAGCCTAGCACAAGTCAGCACAAGTTTCAGTTTCGCCAGCACAAGAATCTAAAGGGCACTTTACTCTTGAACGCGGCCCTTTGCGCTCGCAGTCATTAATCACCACTTCTAGACTTTGTATTGATTCTAGACTCAGAATTGCATATCTGAGTTGTGCTAGGCTAGCACAACTCAGATATATAATTGTATATCGTTTGGTACGAGTGTAAGTCTTACTTTTATTCTATTTGCCTAAAATCGTTTTTTTCGTCTTATTTCTTTCGTGATTATTTTTCGAAGATACTACTTTAGCACAACGTTAGCACAACTTAGCATAACCTAACACAATAAACAAATTTTCAAAAATCGAAAAGTGAGGGGCTACTAAAAAAACGGTTTTTTCCAT